GAATAAAGTAAAGAAATTTTAGCACCCAAAAAATTTTCCTTTTTTTAAAGTTTTCTTCCGGAAAATTTTTAGCATTCAGGAGAAACTTCTGTTTTTTTTCAGACCCTATTTCCAGCCCTGTATGGAACCGTTCTTTGAACTTTATCCGTAAAACCGAGATTTTTAATTAGTATCCGCTAAATCGAGATTCACTGTATAATATGCAAGATCTTGGTGATACAAATGTGACGTTAAACAAATTTTGTGCTAAAAAAATTTTTGAATATAAATATAGCAATAATTATCAATCCAAAAATTTTTTTTTCATCTCACTTATTTACGAACATTTATAATTCTTGTTCTTTTCAATACATAAAAGAATGAGCCAGACGATGTTCAATATAAAATATCTTTGGTGTTCAAAAGTAAAACCTCACTTTGAATTATTTCAATAAATTGAAAAGTGATGACCATATGACCCAAACATCCTTTATAATTTTTTTTAAAGAGTAAAATTTTGTAAATTTTGAATCTTTGGTATGAAATAATAATATTTTGTAAGAACAATAATATTTATATCATGTTTTCTCGAACCTTGCTATAAATAATGTTCAACGTCTTGCTTGAGCTTTGAATTTAATAAAACGATAAGAAGTGGTTATATGATCACGTTTTTAGCCAATCAAATCTAGTAATTCATAAATTGAAAAAAAAATTTTTGAAAAGTCATTTTTTCTTTTTCTTAAATATGGATGTTGAGACTGTTCCCTCAATTACTCAAGTTGAACAAGTATAGTATTTACTCAAAATTGTTTTAAAGTGATAAATAAAAAGTTGATTATTGCTTATTCAATGAAAATATATTTAAAAAATAAAGATAATAGACCAACTCTATGGAAGTTTTGATCCTCAATATCAGAAATCTGCTCAAGAATATTTACATAACCTTCAAAAACAACAACACGCCTGGGAATTAGCATCTCAGTTATTAGCTTCCCAGGTTAATTTTTATTAATTAATCTGGTGAATTGCCTTTTTTGAAATGTGAATTAATTGTACTTGCATTTTTATTTAGTCTGTAAATTCTCGATTCTTTGGAGCTCATACCCTTCAAATAAAACTTTCTAGAGACTGGTAAGCATTAAACATTTTTTATTGCCAATTATTTGATCAATCAATCGGTCATTAATTGAGAGTCTATAAAATGAAGGAATACTTTATCACCAGAAAAAAGAGAATGGATTCATAAGATTTTACTTGGATGGATTGTACATCTTTCTAATGGTCCTAATGTTGTTATTACAAAACTTTGTTTGGCTGTAAGTTTTAAATCAATTATTAATTTATATAATTAATTCCTGTACATTACTCTAAAAAAGAAAACTTAAATTCACCAATTATTAAATTTCTTAAAAATTATTTACCATCAAAAAAAAAAAAAAAAAAAAGCTCACTGCATTTGCTCTCCAAGCTGTACCTGACATTTGGCCAAATTTTATACCTAATTTTTTTGAAATTTTACAATCGAGCGCTTTAGCTGCCACTTCTTCACAAAACGAAGGCGTGACTTTATTTGTTGAAATACCATTATTGGAATTCTTGACAGTTGTACCCGAAGAAGTTTCAAGGGCTGATTTAATTGGTGATCGAAAGTAATTATTAGCTCTTTCATAACATTTTATATATTAATAACTTTACACATTTATTAAAAATTTTGATTTTTATTTCTAAAAGAGCCAAGGTCAATCAAGAGCTTATTAATTCTATACCAATTGTTCTTTCAACTTTGAGAAATTTGTTGGCAGATTATCATGGAGATCCTGATCGAATGTTACTGTTGAAACAAAAAAGCATACGATGTTTACAAAGTTGGATTATTTACGGCGTTCCATTTGAGTAAGTTGAATTTGTATTATTATCAGCTAGTTATAATATTTCAGGTTACTCATATATTCATTCATACCCATTGTGTTATAACTTTATAAAGATCATTGCTTCCATTAATTGATGATGTAATTAACCTTCTTCCAATCGAATCAACAAATGACTTAGCAACAGAAGTTTTGGTTGAATTCATGTTACAACCACATAGCAGATCATATCAGAATACTGTATGTGAAAAAATGCTTTGTTGCATGACAAGTGATTGGGCAAAGTCTCAAATAACTAAATCAATAAATGGTAATGTCAAGGAAAATAAAAAAAGAGATCTTTTGTTTTTTTTTATTAGCTCAAATTAATAATTTTTATTAGGAATCGGTGTAGATTAATTTCCAACAATAATAAATAATTATAAATATAAATAAAAACTCCCTATCAATAAATAAATTAGAATCTGATGAAGCTTCAGCAAGAAATCTTTGTCGAATAATGACAACATTTGGTGAAAATTTTACTGATTATATTGCCATTCATTTTTTACGTGAAGATATTATTATTTATTTGGAAATGATGTTGATGTTTGCTGGATTTCCTGGATATTTTGGTTCAGATCAAGAAATATCCTTTTTAAAATAACAATTTTTTATTACTTTTAATTTGGTTTTCAAAAAAAAAAAACTTCCTCCCAAATTCAAAATTTGGATCCTTAATAAATATTATTTTAAACATTAGTGAACTGCCATTACAGTTTTGGTATCTTTTACAAGAATCATTATTTGATTCTGATGTTATCCCAATTCAAATTAATAAAATCATTGAAGATGAGGAAGAAAATGAATTTAATTCTTCCGCTGCCACCAAACAAAACCTTTCAACAAATACTATGGGCATTGAGCAAGCTCAAAAAATACACGAAGCTTCTTTGGTTGTTTACCAACGATTGATTGAAGTATTAAAAATGAAAGTTCAATATCCTCCAGATTTAGAATGGGTTGAGTGGGTTAAAGGTATTTTATGTATAGAATAAGGATTGATTGAATATATTTACATTTAAGGTCGAAAATTATTAATGAATTTCACACTTTTTTGACGTGAAAATAGATATGAAAGAAAGATTTAAAAATTATCGTAGAGATGTTGGTGATACCATTATGAATTCTTATTATATATTAAGAGGAAGAATGCTTGCATATTTAATTAATCTGTTAATTAATCAGTTGAATACAACCGGAAGGGATATTACTCAATGGCAGGTACTAAAAACAATTAAACAATGCACTATTTCAAAAAATAAAAATTTTCATATTACCTGTAAAGTATTAATGTTAATATATTTATAAATTTTTATAGGAAATAGAAGCGGCATTATTTTGCTTAAAATCTATTTCAGAAGTTGTTGAACATGATGAAAATGTTTATTTACTGCGTCTATTTAATACAGATGTTTTTGGTAATTTACCTATACAAACAAATGCAAGAATAAGAAATACCGCCTTATCTCTGATTGGTAATTTAGCATTTTTATAATTATCTGTAAATTCATGTAATTTATTTAATTTATGAAACTCATATTATTATAATCATTTCCAAAAGGCTCTTACGCAGAATGGTTTAAAGTTCATTCTCAATACATATTACCAGCTCTTAATTACTTGGTACCAGCATTGAGTGATTCTGATTCAGCATTTACCGCTGCTAATTCTTTTAAAGAAATTTGTGACACATGTCGTAATTCTTTGGTTGATGGCATTGATAATTTAATTAATATGTATGTAGTGGTCGGAGCTCATATACAAGTATGTAAAAGGTTTTTATAAAATTGTATATATATATATATATATATATATATTTATATGATACAAGTTTATTTATATCTTTATTTTTTATTTTTAGCCTAGAGATAAACAAAAAATTATCGAGTCAATAGCAGATGTTATTCAAATATTGCCACCTGAGAAAATGATCCAATCAATATTGGCAAGCTTACATATATTATTTGTATATATCAATTATCATCAATTATTATTAATTGTTTGTTATTATTAATTATTAATTATCAGACAATTACAAGTGACATTATTAAAACAACAAAAGAAATTATATTACATGCCAAACAAGTATGTAAATTTTTATTTTATGAATTTAAATAATTACTTTTTTTAATTTATAATGACTATTTTACTACAAATATAACAAAAAAAAATCAAAATCAAATAAAATCTATAAAAGAATCCATCACAATTTCATGACATTATTATAACTCAATTAGAATATTTGACAGCATGTGGTCGTGGAATTCAACCTTCTGATGATCATGAAATTATTATAATTGATGATAATGATTCAAAAACCACAAATAGAACTACAGCTTCCTCTGATGTGATAAAATCTAATGATGAGGTTTTAATTTCATTCCAGGCCAAAGGACTTACTGATTCATTTTCAGAAATTGTACAAAATGTTGCAGAAGTTTGGTATAATGATAACGAAGTTATAAATGTATTTATTTATTTATCAAAAAATATATTTACTTTTTTTTAAATAAAATTATATTAATACTATATATATTCTTTTCTTTCTTTATTAAAAGTGTCTTTGTAAATTTCTTAATACCGGAATACGTACAACTTTAAATTTATTTTCAATACCTATCGAAGTAATTGTGCCGTTAATTCAATTATCATATCAAAGATATCCACATTGTTATTGGTTGGATACAACAGTTCAAACTGTAACAGTTTATGGAGTTTCATTTGAGTACGAGTCAACATTAAGCAAATTATTATTATCTATTACAACCACAACTTTTCAATTTGTTAAAAACAAAGCTGGTAAATTCTAGTATTATTAATGACAATGGAATTATTTTATTTATTTAAATATTTATTAAATTTATATTTTAGACATGGAAAATTACCCGGATATGGTACATTCATTCTTTGAGCTTTTGACAAAGGTAATATAAAAATTTTTTTTTTTTTGATATTAAATTTCTTGTGTATTATGATTCACAATTAATAATAAATAAACTTTTTTATTTAGTATCTTACAAAATGCCCTATTGCATTATATACGTTACCATCAGAAATATTTGACAATATTTTAAAATTCTCTGTGGCTGGTTTAGGATTACAAGAAAGACTTGCTTTAAGATCTGCAGTCGCTTTTATGGTAAGCTCTAATTTTCTGTATATATATATATACAAGGGGTCTAATATTTAAAAAAGTATTATAAAAATTATTTACAAATATTTGATTTGGATTTAATTATTAGGGAGAATTTATAGGACAACATTACAAAGATGATAGAATTACAAATATGGTAGAAAATATAATTAGAACTTATGGTTTAGAAATTACGAGAGAATTGTTATTTGTAAGATCAATTATAATTTTTCTAATTTAAAATAATTTTTAATATTAACTTTTTTATTTCTTAATTATAAAAATTTGTTAGGGAATTGGTGGGAATTTACCAAGATCATTAATTCCACAATTATCAACTGTATTATTTAAAATTACAGGTCGTTATATTGAAAATAGTAGAGAATGGTTGAATATATTGTTATCACAAGTAATTTTCTTATTCATATAATAATTAATTGATACTATAATTAATTGATTAATAACCTGTTTATCATTTCTTGTTCATTTGTTTGTAAAAAGGAAAACTTTCCATCTAAAAATGTTAATCAAGTTACTAAACAAAATTTTGCTAAAGCAATTTTAGGGTATGTGTATTTTACCTTCATTATCATTAATGTTTTGATCCTGATTATCATTTGATTATAGGAAAAAAACTAAATTTATAATTTTTCTTCCTTCAAATAAAATCAAAGTACAAGATCTTCTCAAAAGTTTAAAGGAATAGTAACCGAATTTTCTATAAAATGTAGAGGTTTGGAAGATTCTGCTTACGGGCTCATATAATTAAACTTAAAAAATTTTTTAAAAAAAGGAACTGATTAATTAACAAAAAAAAAGGAATTATTATAATTATCTTTTATTATTATTATTGTAGTTGATCAAAATATTAATTAGTTTGTGCTTATTTTCCTTTTCCTTCAAAACTATTACCAATAATTCGTTCATAATGATCAATTATTTTTTTTTAATAATATTGATTATTATTATTATTATTTGCATATTTCTAGACATCTACAAACAATAAAATAATAAGTCAAAATAAATAATATTAAATTAAAAAAAAAGTTCTTGATAACGATGATGTTTGTTGTTTGTTGATGATTAATTCAATTCAATTCAATTCATTTATTTATTTTATCCACAAGTCCAGTTATTTAGTTTTTTTTTCATTACTAAATAACATATCAATCTGTCCACACACACACACACACACACTAATCCACCAATCCACAAATTTATCCATCATAAATTTTCTCCTCTTTCATATTTATCAAAACTCACCATGAATTTAACAGTGGTGACATTTACGCGATTAAATGATCAATTAGTCAATAAAATTGATTGCGTGTAAAGTATCTTTCACAAACACACAATCAAATATATAAAATAAATTATTTCACTTTTTTATTATTTACAAAAAAATAAATAAATTCTTTTAGCAAAATAATTTTAAAAATTATCTGCAATCTCCCTCTGTTGACTGTGGCTCGACCAATTTCTTGTGCAAATGTGAAAGATTCTGGTATGAATTCACTCAGGAACTCGCAAGCTGGTGTTGGTTATTCTTAAAAACTAATAATGAATCACTATCCTCAAGTCGATGGGTGACTCTTTAAAAAAATCTAGTTCTTGATTTCATGGGTTATAGTTAACTCAGCTAAACCAACATCTAGAGATTTAAATAATCTTCACCTTTTACCAGATGGAATATAGAAGGGCTTTAAAGAAGATGTAATTTTTTTTATATAAATGGGGGTTCAACTTCATCGCCATCATCTTTTATAGATGTAGGCGCAATTTTTTCTTCTTCTGAAAAAATCTCCAGCAATGAAAACACTTAAAATCAGACTTTATGCTGCGTACTGAATGCACAACCAATGTGTAGTTGCAATCAATAGAAAAAATTTACGAAAAAATTATATCATTGGGTCTAGAAAAGTTACATCTGATGACTCTAACATCAAATGGGTCCTCATTGTATTAGAGATGCACATTCATTGAGTGAACTTTTAAATCAAACATTTCTGCAAAAAAGAAAAACTTTAAATT